AATGACAATTTAAGCCAGAGTTCAACTAGGGTGTAACTTTTATTAATAAAGGGGTTAAAGTGTTACTTAAGGGTTTTATTATGGGTTGCTAAAGCGAATAAACCCACAAGACCCAATAAGTCCACCCACAAGATGGACCGACGGCCTCATAAAGGTAGCGGGAAGGCGCTGGATGCAGGCCGCCACCAACCGGCCATTGTGAAAATCATTAGGGGAGGCCTATGTTCAACTGGACATCCTATGGCTAAAATGATCATGATGATGATGATGAAAGCGAATAAAGGGCTAATGGCTTGGGTAGTTCATCGTAGGTATAATCCTTTCCTTTTCAATGCTTCTTTTAGTTATTTTAATAGATTGTAGTCATAATACATACTCGTATACATGGATGATTGTGTTATACTTTCATTCTAATACTTAGTGGAATTACTGCTTTCAAAACGTGAATTAGAACTGGCCCCATAGCAGACATTTTCCTACATCTAAAGGTCTTTTCAAATATATATTGGTTATGGCTATTGGAGCGGGTACCACTTTCCATACATTTGTGCCCATCATCCTTTCGATTTTTGTTCGAATTGTAATTGATAAAAGTAGTTTAATTGAGTTGACATAATAGTGACGTCACTTGCTTGTAGTGCCATACAAAATCTATGGGAGAGTTTCGTTTTGACAGTTTTAAAAAGTACGTCAATTGACTGTGGTGTCAACATGTCTATTGCAAAGCGGATGACCGGTGACAAAGGTTTAACACCTTTAAGAAAAGATGACAACACAATCTTTATAAGGTTAGCTTATAAAGCAGGGTACTCATTTAGCCGTGTAGCATGTAATGTATCAGATACTGTATCAAGTGAGCACATAGGCACGAGCCCGCTGCGAGCTGCTCACGTGTGGTTCGCAGGGAGATCGCAGCGACCCGAGTGGCGGTATCACTGCGAGCACAAAGGCGGCTCGCAGTAGGATTCAGGAGCTCGCAGCCAGATACGCGATGACCGTGGACGAGCCGTACTCACTTGAAGATTGGTTACGTTACATGCTACGTTACGTGCTACATGGCACGTGAGTACCCTGCCTTACAATTGTAATAAAGACGTGTTGCGAACTTTTTGGCTACTTTGGGTGTCACGAATTATTTGACGCTGACTGTACCGTCGACAGCACATAAAACTAGACAATGTTGTTGCGAAATGGCGTTTATTAAAACCGCTAAAGATGCCACAGTGATTGGATTGTTGTGCCGTCGTCTGTACAGCTGCTAATATACAGGGTGTGACGGAGGTTTGGTGAAATGTTAACAATGAATTCAAAATATTTTTTAACATTCGTATTCTGAATTTCTGACTCTCAAAAATACATTTAAAACAAAATATAGATTAAAACACGTGATTGCTCTAAATATGAATTTCAAAACAAATTAAGGTTTGAATCTGTCATTTAGTGTAAATTAATGTTTATTTAATTTTCATATCACACCCTTTTTAGTATTGATAAGCTAAGCAGAGTCAACAAAAATAATAAATTACTTTGAGTGAATGATTTATAATATCTGAATTCATTGTTGAAAGGTTTTACCAATTTGCCCCTTCCACCCTGAAGTATTTTTAATCTTACGTAATTGTTGTGAAATGTATCCACATTTTTTTTACCTGGACTATGTACTTTGACGGAGAAGTGTATATTTTTTAACAAAAAAAAGTTCTTTTATTCAGACTTGCACACCTCCCCGCGTTCGCCCCGTCCGTATCAGAGCGTCGATATGACGTCACGGCAGCCAGATCCACAGTTAACACGACCGGATTATACTTGTCCTTTCTGCATTTTTCGTAGGTTCACCCTGTATAATTTGAGCTACTACTAAAGTCAATTACAATGTACATAAAATCAATCATTAAGTACTTTTATATGTTTTTGCTTTACATCTACCATTTTAGCTGCTATCAAAACTGCTACTTATTTATTTCGTACTTTATATTTCTCCGTCTCAGTACATTATACGAATTTTCAAAAATATACGTCTCTAATAAACTGTTTAATTAATTTAAAGTGCTATGTGGTAGCAATCATGTTCATCAACATCAATCTTCTCAATAAATCTGTAGAGCGCTGGCCGTTACATTAAAGTGCATCAGGGGAANTACGGACTAAAAAAATTTTTTTAGGCAACTAGCCTATACAAAAGTATTAAAAAAATAAGATTAAGATGACATATGATTTGGAGAGCGAACCGTCAGCTTGAGTTGTGTGTTCCGTTCCCATGCGAGGCATTGATTTTCTCAATCAAAATATCTCCTATTAACGTTTTATTTTTCATTATCTAGCAAACTGATGGTTTTAAACATATATCAGTAGTATTATTTTTCTAATCATAGCTATTAAACAAGTTTCTTACCACTAAAAATACTCCTATTTATAAGAGCTATTCTTAAAAGTACATTAAATTATTTTTTCATTTTTTCAATATGATAATTGAAATTAAAAGTTAATTTGTTATTGTCATTTTTTTAGTTGTAATTACGCTCAATTATCGAACGATTCTGAATAATAACTTCAAGTAGGCTAGGCACTATATTATTCAATTAGCGCTAGAAAAAAATCTAGTTGAGTGCGTGTAGTGATAAATTATAGCAATTCATGTATTGATTTTAAAGTAAATCACGATAGTTACATGAATTAATTATGATCGTACGTTTCGCAGTGACAATTAGTGATATAATGAGGTAAGAAGTTACGGGAAAGACTCGAAATCAAAATATTTATTAGTACGTACGTATACGAGTAAAGGTCCTTTTTTTAGGGTACTTATACAGACTAAAGGTTCGTATTTGAAACTGACACTGGTAGCTCGTTTCAAACTCTTGTGTAAGCTCAAGTTGCTCAAATATTGACCGCTTAAAATTTGAACTAACTGAAAATAAGTAAGTAGGTATACATTCAATATTATTATTTTCCAAAAACAAAATAGCACAACCCGAACAACTGCGCACCTCGCTGGGATATCTCCCTCCCACTTACCTACAGAGGCACATAGCTCGTAGAGACGATGACCGTTGGGGCAGAAAAGTTCTCGAGTGGCGACCACGGGCTGGAAGACGTAGCGTGGGCAGGCCTCCTACTAGGTGGACCGACGATCTCGTAAAGGTCGCGGGAAGAGCCTGGATGCGGGCAGCGCAGGACCGTGCATTGTGGAAAACCTTGGAGGAGGCCTTTGTCCAGCAGTGGACGTCATTTGGCTGAAACGAACGAACTTACCTACAGATCTAACGCCCGTGTTTACAAACATTACTATGAGGTCACGTGGACGCACAGGGCGACACACGAGCCAATCACAGAGCTCTAATTAACGCCGTGCGTTCGATTTGCTGTTTCACTTAAGCAATGTTTGTGAATACGGCCGTAAGTGAAGCAGCAAATCGAAAGCACAGCGTTGAATAGAGCTCTGTGATTGGTTCGTGTGTCAGCCTGTGCGTCTACGCGCACGGTAAGACCTCATAGTAATGTTTGTGAATACGGATGTGAGAATCGATCCTAAAGCCTTTTGAGTCGAGAGAGTCGTCTGGAGAGAAGCATACTAATATTTTAAAATGTTTGGAAAATGAAAATATTTTCGGCTTCCGCTTATATGATAAATTATTTGATAAAACGGCAAAAAGTGCTGCCTAGACTGTTAAATACATCATTAATATCATTAGTTAGGCTCATTTGTGACATAATTAATGCGGCCTTGTTTCGTTATTCTGTTCCAGTAATAGTTGTAATAATTTATTAATAGTTGACTCTGCTGGATGTAGATTTAATATTATTAAAACTGTATGAAAAAATATTCTACTATTATGTAAATAAAAATACATTCCACTATTGTCGTACAGTCAGCGCCAATAGAATACTTAGTTTGTGACACGCAAAGTAGCCAAAAAGTGCGCAGCACATCTTTGTTACAATTGGAATAAGGTTGTGTTGTCAACTTTTTGGCCACTGTCTGTGTCACGAAGTATTTGATGCTGACTGTACCAAAATGCTTTAATTTGAAATTTTATAATTTTTCTTCGTGATATTTTATGTCTGCCATTGTATTTACAAACTATATTACATACATCAAGCAAGTGTAAATATTTTCTTCGTGTAAGTTTTTGTTCATTTTGCTCGTTATAGCATATTCTTTGAATATTTAATGGACAGGTGTTGGCGATGCCACGACTAACGAACTTCCCCCTATGTTTTTAAGGATATCAGATTTTTTAAAATAGTAGGTAAAAAGTATAGGTTGTTGTACAACTTCTATGGATTTTTAACAAGTCCCTGACTCAGGGTACAAAAATTTAGATCCAAAATTCAAACAAGTCGGCTTTTTCCACCACTGACTGCAACACCGGTCCTGTATAGCCAGGATCTAAGTTTGACTACCAATAAAACCATACCAGTGTTTAACAGTCCTGGGGGATAAGTTCCTGTATTCCCGTTGAGTTACACGATTTTGTGTCACCACTGTTATCCATAAAGTTTAATTAATGAAATCTTTCGAGAAGGAGTTCCACATTAAATGTGTTATTTGAAATTAAGTGGGAAGCGCTGGACGCAGGCCGCTACCAATCGATCAACATGGACAGCATTGAGGGAGGCCTATGTTCAGCAGTGGACGTCCTATGGCTGAAATGATGATGATGATGATGATGAAGTGTATGCTATCTGCAGCTAGTAATAGAAGCTGTCAGGGACGCCTCCCAATCTTCCTGAGGTTGGCATTGTTAATACTTATGCGTAAAGAGGCTGACAAAAGTGACTGAGTTTGTTCTGCCAATTCTTCTCAGCACCATATGCTGTCCCAGCCCATATAGTGGTGGTAGGGCAAGCTATATTTGTGACGTGTATAAGTGCCCTGGAAAGGGTCTATGTACTGAATATTTGAATTTGAATTATATTTCCAGTGACTTCGCTTATAGTTCGACTTGCCAATATTTTTTAAGATCTCTCCGCTTACAATCCGATCCAACCCGTTCCAGGTATTAACGGGCGCAGCGTTCCACCACAAAATCTGGTCGTGGTACTACACGTACAAGATGCCCGGCGAGATCCGCCGCTGGGTGGACGAACACTTCAACTGTGAAGACATCGCCATGAACTTCCTCGTCGCTAACGTCACGAGAAAGCCGCCCATAAAGGTAATATTAGATCCTCACTTAGATGGTTAGCAGTCCACAACAGTACGTTTCTCTAGAAACTTCCTGCCCCGTACAACCAAACTGTGAAATGGACTGTCGTCTGCGGTGTTTCCGGACGGATACAACCTGCAAGCTTTCAAGAAGAAAGCGTATCTTCACCTTAAACAACGCGCCTGTAATGCTCCTGGGATTGCGGGTGTCTATGGGCGACGGTAATCACTTACCATCAGGTGATCCGTCTGCTCGTTTGCCTCCTGTCACATAAAAAAAAATCTTTTTTGGCAATAATCCACTGGTTCTAGCAAATTGGAGATTTTTTTATCCACAACGAAGAAGCTCTTCGCCTGTATCTCACCTGATGGTAAGTGATGATCAGGCCGAAGGTGGAAGCGAGCTTCACCCGGAATCCTTAACCACGGAGGAACTGGCTATCTTACCACATAATTTTTTTTTTGGTCATGAATCCTACTAGGATTTCATAAAAATGTGGAGTTAAAATATTCACAAATGTAGAGCCATGATAATCCATCACCTAACCCAACAATCGTAGTTACAATTATTAAACGGTTAGACGTTCAGCTTTCTAGTTGAATGATGCATTAAACAATGTGTCGCATACTAGGCATTCAATCAAACGTCGGCGTGTATGAATTCTCAATTGAATTCATCTGTGCGTGTACACATATTTGTAGTAGTTGTAGGAGATTTATGATAGAAATGGGATGGGATACCTTCGATAGAGCAGACTCCGCAGGACGGTCCAAGCTTGGTTCTTCTTTCACTTACACTTGAATTTTATTGGGTTGAGTTAACGCGCGAGAGGAATTATTTGAATTGGTTTATTTTGGATACTTATTTCGTATTAACGCCCAGATAGGTAGGCGAAGCGGCGCGTTGCAATGCGAGAGCGAGACTAAAGGTGGAAGGGAGAGGATAGGGAAAGGACTGTCAGAGTGAGTGATAGAGAATAGTGTGACATGAGTTTGAATTGTATGAGGTTTTATTTAATGCTGGCGCGTACAGGCCTATAAGATAATGTTAGATCCAGTTGTGTATGTGGAGACTGTATGACCTGATGATGATGATTTTGAGATCTTTAATACAGACAAATTACTAAATTAAATTTAATACAGAATAATAAGAATATCGAATAACATAAAATAGTAAAACTGAACAAGAGATCATGAAAACAGCTATAGCGCCTATTAATTTAGGACATATTTCCCTTGCTAATGGAACACATTTTCGTCATTCCAGGTGACCCCTCGAAAGAAGTTCAAATGTCCAGAGTGCACGAACACTGAGATGCTATCGGCAGACGCTCGCCACATGTCGCAGCGGTCAGCGTGCGTGGACCGCTTCGCAGCGATCTACGGCCGCATGGCTCTCCAACCGGTGGAGTTCAGAGCCGACCCACTGCAGTACCGAGAGACTGGCGCCGGCGTGCCACATCTATACCCCGACATCGGAGCGCTATAGGTATATTCTTAACGCAATGTATCAACGCTCGGTGATGTTGGCGAAAGTTTTTTTGTGGTAATGTTTTGGGCCCACTAGTTTACAGTTTGATGATGCAGTACAGCTGGATTTAGCACTGTTTGTGGTATAATCATACTGCACATTCCTAAAGATCGAAAAATGCTAAAAACGTGAATCAAACTCTAAGAACAACACTAGAAAGCTCAAAATCGATTACTTTGCAAGATGAAGCATGTGCCGAATGCCTGGACATAACGTGTACATTAAGTAAAATTTACTTTACATCGGCCCTTTGGCCATCGAGTATGAAATAAGAGAATTCTGTAGGTATTCAATTTAAAATTGGCTTGTAGTTTTGTAAGGCTGACAAGTTTTGGGCCCTCTTACTTTCTCTAATCATATAAAGTAAACGAATATTACGCATGATTGTGTTTAACTGTTTTTTTTTATAACTGGAGTACAGTTATTGCTATACTTTTTTCTTGAAGACCTGATTTATAAATCACCAGATAACTTGTATCTAGCAGCTAGGGAGCAGAACTAGCTCCTCCTACAAATATACAACTATTACTTTGTGTAATACTCGTAGCTAATCAGAATTAATAGTTGAAACATGGGTGAATTATAAAGCTAATACAAAATAAACACAATCAAAATAGGTTTTACGTGCATCATATTATTATTAAATCTTTCTGTCATTTATTGTGGCCAGATTTAACTGATCAATTGTTTTTTTTTGTCAATAGTAACTTTTATCCACTGAATGTGCGTATTTAAAACAATCTAAGAGGGCCCGAATTTGTAGCAAACGTAGAAGGAACGGACAATAACAAATTGAATGAAGGCTGTAAGAGAATTGGGAATCGTCCCCATCACCAGGGTATGTAGTGTTAATGCCAATTATCTTTTACCCGACTTTAATGTTCGTTTTGCCAATGTATTACAGATGATAGCACATCGAGATAAATACTGTCTTATGCTGTTGTAGTAAGTACTACTTTGCAACAACAATGTAGCGCTATTGCTGTACAGTCAGTGTCAAGTAGTTCGTGATACCTAAAGTGTCCAAAAAGTTGACAACACAACCTTACGGGACTATTCCCACCTCTCGTTCCCACCACTGCAACTCCTGTGTAGCCAGGATCTACAGCTTGACCGCCACAAAAACCCAACTAATGAAGGTCAAGTTTGTCCCGGGGGAAAGTTAAACTGTCATTGGACCCGCAAATTAATCAGAAGAACATAGGAGGAGTTCGAAATTAAGGTTCGACTTCCCTCCATAGACAGTTTGACACCATACCCCAATAATTTGAAACCAAAACTGTTTTAAAAAGACTCTTCATTCTGGTCTTTAAAACCTAATTTATTAAAAAATTACCTGTAAATTTCGATTTTTGTTCGAATTGTAATTGAAAAAAGTAGTTTAATTGGGTTGACAAAATAGTGACGTCACTTGCTTGTAGTGCTATACAAAATCTATGGGAGAGTTTCGTTTTGACAGTTTTAAAAAGTACGTCAATTGACTGTGGTGTCAACATGTCTATTGCAAAGCGGATGACCGGTGACAAAGGTTTAAAACCTTTAAGAAAAGATGACAACACAACCTTTATAAGGTTAGCTTATAAAGCAGGGTACTCATCTAGCCGTGTAGCATGTAATGTATCAGATACTGTATCAAGTGAGTACATAGGCACGAGCCCGCTGCGAGCTGCTCGCACGTGGTTCGCAGGGAGGTCGCAGCGACCCGCCGACTGGCGGTATCACCAGGCCTGTTCATCTCCGCGAGTTTACATCGAAAACAAAACACGCACGATGGCCCACCTACAGGATACTATTCGACAAGGCCTCACATACGAGCGAACATTGACTCACGCACGCGTATTCTTGTGTATGATGGAAGAAAATAAAGAAAATGGTGTACTAAATACTGTGCAGTTTTTAACTGCCTAAATAATAATAAAAACAGAATATACTTTTTTAAGTTGCCTCAAGACACTGAGAGGTAAATAAGTAGTTAATATTATTCATGATAATTCATGCTAAATCATGTATTTCCTCCGCCATTTTCCGCAGTTTGGCACCTCACGTCACATCATTTTACCGAAGTCAGCCCTATAGCTTCGGCGCAGTGCCGATCACTGACGTTTGTCAACAAAATGGTGCTTGACTCTTGAGACAGGCTAAATTACACTATATTGTTAATGACATTGAGCATACATTTTTTTAAATACCTTCGCGAAGTTAAACTTCTGTACGTAGTACTTATTATTATTCTGTGGTATCACTGCGAGCACAAAGGCGGCTCGCAGTAGGATTCAGGAGCTCGCAGCCAGATACGCGATGACCGTGGACGAGCCGTACTCACTTGAAGGTTGGTTACGTTACATGCTACGTTACGTGCTACATGGCAGGTGAGTACCCTGCCTTACAATTACAAAGACGTGTTGCGAACTTTTTGGCTAATTTGGGTGTCATGAACTATTTGACGCTGGCTGTACCGTCGACAGCACATAAAACTAGACAATGTTGTTGCGAAATGGCGTCTACTACAACTGCTTGAGATGCCACAGTGATTGGATTGTTGTGTTGTCGTCTGTACAGCTGCTAATATACAGGGTGTGACGGAAGTTTGGTTAATTTTTAACAATGAATTCAGACTATTTATGAAATGGTGATATTACTCCTCGTATTTTGGATTGATTCTCATAACTAAAACAAAGCACAGATTGAAACACATGATTGCTCTAAATGTATATCAAACAAATTAAGGTTTGAATCTATTATTTAGTGTAATAAAAATAATAAAATTAATGTTTATTTCAATTAATTTTATTATTTTTATTACACCTTTTTGTGATATTGATGAGCTAAGCAGAGTCAGTCCCAGAACAAAAATAATAAATTACTCTTGATGATTTATAATTTAGATGCTGACTCTAGTGATCTGAATTCATTGTTGAAAGGTTTTACCAATTTGCCCCTTCCACCCTGAAGTATTTTTAATCTTACGTAATTGTTGTGAAATGTATCCACATTTTTTTAACCTGGACTATGTACTTTGACGGAGAAGTGTATATTTTTTAACAAATAAAGTTCTTATATTCAGACTTGCACACCTCCCCGCGTTCGCCCCGTCCGTATCAGAGCGTCGATATGACGTCACGGCAGCCAGATCCACAGTTAACACGACCGGATTATACTTGTCCTTTCTGCATTTTACGTAGGTTCACCCTGTATAATTTGACCTACTACTAAAGTCAATTACAATGTACACAAAATCAATCACGAAATACTTTTATATTATTTTTGCTTTACATCTACCGTTTTAACTATCAAATATTTGAATTTCATATTTCTCCGTCTCAGTACATTATACGAATTTTCAAAAATATACGTCTCTAATAAACTGTTTAAATAATTTAAAGCGCTATATGGTAGCAGTCATGTTCAATCAAAATCAACAATCTTGTCAATAAATCTATAGAGCGCTGGCCGTTACATTAAAGTGCACAAAAANCAGGGGAATCATCATTAATAACAAAATTATTTTAAAAAGTTACATTAAAAAAGCAACATTTTGAGGTAAGTAGTTTGGCACATTTTAGAGACTATATTTTTGAATTTACGCAAAGGTAAAAAATCTATCCTTATTTTTAAGATAATAATTTGTGTTGTGAGCTTATTAAATGCCTTTGGATAACGATTTATTTTGACGATTTACATGTCAATTTTAGACATAATTTATTGTTTCATTTAATAAATTATTATTTACATTTAAATCGAGCTTCTACGTTTTTAAGAACGGGAAATATTGTTTAAATTCATATCGATTGGCGGCACGAAAATGTTTAATATTGTAAAAATGTGTTTAATTTATATTGTACATACATTATATTATTGTATTGGATAAATTTTGTGGCATAAATCAATAATTTTAATGTAACATTTACAGTATTATTTTATTGTGAAATTCGTTTATGTACCCGCCGAACTTGTATGAATTTAAAAATGTAATGATTGAGCTTCTTACATCCAAATTGTCCCTCCTTTACTTCCATAGGAATCATTGGCTTCAGAACATATCGTTTGATCAAATACATTTAATGATAATATTAAAACTTTAAGCGATTCAGATTAACAGCTAGGAATTGGTTTGTAGTTTTGTCAAATAGATTTTTATAAAATCTTTTAATGTTTAATTAAATAATTAAGGTATATTTTGCCAGAAGCCAAAATCCTTCTGTTAGTCATGATTCTCACGACTTGCCATTCCTTTAAACCGTAGCAAATAATTTTATAATATGACAATAAGTTTTTAGATGTTAAACCCTAATTTATTTCATGTCAATTCTTACTGTAACATTATCAATCTGATTTTTATCAAATTGTGGAAGTCGATATGGTTATATCAGATTTAAGATGTACTCACATAACCCTGTACTGTCAACTTAATACTCAAGTGAAGTGATTGTCACGTGGAAAATAATTTATACTTTTGAGCTAGTCCAGAGTTTCCCAATCTACAGGGTGTTAGGTAAATGTGTATATGAGCCGACACTACTCAATTTTCTGATTTCACCATACCATTTATATGCCCATGTTAACATGGGCTAGTGTCGGCTCATATACCCATTTACCTAACACCCTGTATATCAAGGTAGAGTCAGCGTCAAATATTTCGTGACACCCAAAGCGGCCAAAAAGTTGACAACACAACCAACAAAGTCGTGTTGCGTACATTTTGGGTACTTTGGAGGTCATGAACTATTTGACGTTGACTGTACCTAGATTTACCTTATACTCAGGGCCGGATCGTGAATTTGTGGGGCCCTGGGCTGAAACTTCTTATGACGTTGTCATGTAAAAATATCGTCCGTAAACCGACTTTACAGACAACTATTTTTTTTTTCAAATTATGGCCTACTATTTAGCGGGATCTGGGGGCCCCTTGTAACCCCGGGGCCCTGGGCTGCAGCCCAATCAGCCCATAGGTAGATCCGGCCCTGCTTATACTAGCGGTCACTATCATACTTTTTTTTAAATGTATAGTTGTGAAACCCTGAATTAGCTTAAATGTATAAAGTAAGTTTTTTTTACCTCTAAATTCTTAATTAAACAGTTTTTAAATGTCCCCATTTTGATAAAGTCAGATCTAAATAAGAATTAAAATGAAATGTACCTAATATTAAAATGATGCCATCTGTCCTTAGAGAAACTAATGAAATGATATTCTAAAATTTAGTGAAGGTGTATGTAGCATAGTCGAATATAGTCCATCTTGACATATCGGTGCTTGTGTGAAGAATATAAAAATTATTCCTAATAATTTTAAATAATGTAGGTAGATGGTATATGTATTATTATGTATGTCACATACGAAGCGCACGAACACGATTTACATGTAGTGGAAAAATATACATAGAATTTATAGTGAATGGTAATTTTTCGCTACGTATATTTTTTGTACCCGGTACAAAATGGTGGCAGGAATCGCATGGAACTGTGTTCAAAGTACATATAAAATATAAAATAAAAATTTCAGCCGCCATTTTGTAAGATACCGCCGCACCGCTTTACGTTATGTAAAGTCATTATTTACGATCGTGTTTTCCATATTAATTTTAAATGTACAGAACCAATGGAGTTTCATAAATATTTTTACTTTTATACAAACCCACAATTTTTTATGACGACGCCGTTTGCGTAGGCGAAAATAAGTACAGTTTTAATTGTAAATAAACAATAATTATTTTTTATTTATACAGGGTGTTAGGTAAATGGGTATATGAGCCGACACTAGCCCATGTTAACATGGTCATATAAATGGTATGGTAAAGTCAGAAAATTGATATCTTCATTTTAATTATTTTAATTTTCATACAAATCAATTGTATAAAACTTATTTTGTATGAAAATTAAAAAAAATAAAATGAAATTTTATTATTAAAAAAAATTAATTATTTTAATTTTCATACAAATCAATTGTATAAAATTTATTTTGTATGAAAATTAAAAAAATTAAAATGATGATATCAAATTTCTGACTTCACCATACCATTATTTTATATGACCATGTTAACATGGGCTAGTGTCGGCTC